GTATTGGGGAGTGGAGGGTTGAGCATAGCATCGCTGGCTTCAGGCTTAGAACAAATTAAAATAATATCTTCTCTACAACTTTTCATCGCCTTCTATATAACCGAAATTGAAGTTTCGTCCAGTACGTCAAGATTAACCTAGTCCATACATGCAGTCAAAATTGAAAGTTAGTTTCTCTCGCCTTGACGCTACAATGCCTGGAATTCATCTACCATTTCGGTGCACTAAACACGCCCAACCCACCGTTACCAACCCCCTGAACCACAAAATATCTCATCTAACCCCTAACCTAAGTCCTAATCAACATATTACCACCAAATAAAAGCCTCCAGTTCAAAATATTTCACGCTACGACAGCCTGCAGCGGGAACATACATGCAGCCTCCCGCACAAGTCACTTAGTTCGTCTGTAGCATCACAGCCGCAGCCAAGCTTCCAAGACAGACGGTCCTTATGGCCGTTGGTTTATTTCCAGGGTTGGTAGAGAAGTCAGGGGGGAAATGAACCATGGCTAGGGTGCAGTGATCGATAGGTTGATGGGGATTACTTGATGGGGTAACGGGATTTGGGGGCTTTAGGAGAGATGAGTGATGTACGATATATGTTAGAGGTGAGTGGTAAGCAGATTCGTGGGCACTGGTTGGGAATGTGTTGTATGGAAATAACCATTCATTATCATACAATTATATCATCAACAAAATAACATTATTGCAAGCAGAAACAAACAAGATTTGTGAACAGGATACCAGCCCGATCGTAGCCATACAAGTACACTTGTTTCTGGACCTCGCTTGAAAGGAAAACACCCACCCTAAAGAACCATATCACCATGATACAATGCGCTTCCATCAATACTGACTTATGCCGACGCCGCCACAAACTTGGCAGCGTCCCCAGCGTTCATAGAGTAAGTCAAATGCGGTGCCAAAATAACGGCCTGTCCAGCGCAGATCAGATCTCCATTGTGGCAGATGACCTTCGTGTTGGCAGCGGCAACGTTTCCAACAGGCTGGCCGTTGTTTGGGTCGCCGAAGATAACAGCCGAGGAGACGAAGGCGGTTTGGGACGCACTAAGCATGCTGGCGGCGTTGTGGACGAGTTGGCCTCCTTGACTATCAAGCTATCAGTATACGTGATCAAGCTGGGGTAGGGGAGAACATACCTGTAACCAGCCATTACAAGTTTAGTCGTCGGGCACGCGGACATAACCGTAGCCACCATCTGCGCCATCAACGCACTCCCTCCCGCATCGCCGCCGGCCAAGAATCCCGGAATGTCAGCCGGATAATCGATACCCTGTACCGCGACATTTCCTGCGCCCATCATAGCTCCCACAGCCTGGACAAAAGGTGGTCCGGCGAGAGTCCCCATATTTCCTTGCTCGGTTGTTCCGCGCGCAAAGAGGATGGTCATGGGTGCACACACGCCGTTCTTGACGTCGTTCTGGGTCATGGCGCCGAGGTCGCGGGCGTTGACTTTGGTGGACTTGATAGTCGATTTGGCTTCGAAGACTCTGGATGCGTCTTCCATCTTTTGGAATGACGAGAAGGAGACTCGGGAGATGTCGCCGAGGGGAAGCGCCGAGGGGAGCGCGGCCGCAAAGGGGACGATCATGGTGATTAGAGTGGTTGGCTTCATAGTGAAAAAGTAAGCTATTTGCAAGAAGAAGGTGAGGATAGGTATCTATGCCTGAGGTGTCTGATCGGTAGATAGAAAATAGCTACCCGATGTGGAGGATCTGCGTACCTCTTATACGCACAAGCGATGAAGGTAGAGAAGCGCATAAATGGTCATACCACATACGCTTAACATCATCGCTTTAGGCGAGCTCTTTTCAAGGCTTCAAAACGTCATGCCCAAGTACTGTCTCATAGGGTAGATGTGTGGGCGGTGGAACGCTTGGCGGTTGATGGAGTGGGATGCCCATGCTCGACAAGCCCCCATTCGGTCACTGTCCACTGAACTTTCTTATTTGGACCGCCCGGGTGACAACCGTTGGACAGGATACCCATCCAGTGTAAAACGCTGCGGGGGAAGAATGACATGGAAAATGACATGGAAACCAGACAGGTCTCCGCTGCCGTGCAGCTTCTCGCCGAGGTAGGTGTAGTATTTGTGTTGTTGCAGTTGATGGTATGCCAGATTTTCCTTCTAGAACGATCGCCCAAGGCGAGAGTCGAGGGCAGGTGTGCTTTCTCAAGGCGAGAGCTGAGGCTGGATATGTTTTCGCAAGGCTGGGCACAGATCGTGATGTGTATGCCTCGGCTGCAAGTAGGGAGGGAACCGTTTGAAGGAGGATGTCTCTGACGGCTTCTCGTGCCATCCGAGCGATCGCGAGAACTCCATCAGTATGCTACGCAGTGATCAACGAGTGGCATGAAGGCGGTGCCCTTCTCCAGCTCAGTGAAAGACGTCTCTGCCATCTACGAAAGCGATTCGTATGTTAGCCTCCGATTCAAGCCACGGTATAGGCCAAATATACATATTGAAGCCGCATATTCAGGTCCAACGTCGAGACTAGTCCATTTGAAGTAACTTGAGCTCGTGGAAATGGTTTGCAAAGACGACGTTTCACCAAGCTTCAGCCTGCGTTTCCAAGGTTAACCTCAGCGATCCGGATCGCGGGTCGTTTCAGGGCCAAGGAGCTGGTGACCAGGGACTCGGAACATGGTTTTGACGAAAGAGGAAATGGGAGCGGTTATGCGGTGGTGATCATAAAGCTTGGTGGTTCTGACGTGGTGCGATGATCACGATGCGTTGCATGGTGTTGACTTTGGGTCGATGGGAGTGACTTTCGGGGCGCTAGACAAACAAGGCTAGCGTTGATATGTCCACCTGCACCCACCTGGAGACCAGAGGTAGAACTCCACATGCCCAAGGTTAAGTACTCAGAGCCTCGCTACCTCAAAGAATCCAAGAAGCCCCATTTGACTCTTTTTGTATTCCTATCGCCTCCGCAACGCTCGCATCAGATACGCCAGTCTCTGCGCTTTTACCTGCTGGAGGCTACCTGCAGTTTTGTGTTCGGAAACCTAGGTATCCTAAGTCCAAGTGTCAATGAACTCCAGGCATTGAATGTTCCGGTAGGGTGTAGAAGTCCACAATGGGAGCTTTGCTCACCAGATCTTCATGGGTTTACGTTTCTTCTAAGTTATCCCGAGTCGGCATAACGGCACTACTCCGAAGGGAATCCCTCGGTGTTGTCGGGAACTGCATCACCAACCGAGAGCGTGCCGACATTCGTAAAGCGCTGCACGGCATAAGAGCCTTCACAACCCCGGACCTTTTCAGCACGAAAAGGGCGCTGGAATTTGTATGGTCTGTTATCGGTAAGGGCGGCGCGAGTCACATAGCGCATAGACTAGAATAGCCAACTTCTACAACAGGCAATCCACTCCAGAAACGCATAACCGAGTGGCCGCCTGAAATAGTCTTTAAAGGCACCTCTCCGCCACCATCTTCTCGAACCATTACAAGTTCCCCTTCCCGAAGATCCAACGTCCACGAATCATGGTCCTCGAACTCCACCGCATGAGCTCCGAGGCCGACCTCGCCGAATTCCACCGTCTTCAAACCGCGGCCTTCACATTTGGCATTCCCGCTTGTGTAGCACCCTCCCCTCTCCCAGCCAACTGGACGGAGATATCGATCGGGAAACATGTCAAATCTTTTCAAGGGGAGCCAGATTGCCATTTCCTAAAGGTTATTGACACGGAATTGGGAGGAAGGATTGTAGCAGCGGCGAAATGGCGCATCAATCACCACGAAAGGACAACCGAAGAGATCCAAAAACAGCTACCAAAGCCGAAGGAAGACGACCATGCGGCAGCCAAAGATTTCATAAACTTCCTGATCGACAGCAGATTGGAATTCATGGGAACAAAACCGTTTTACTGTACGTTTGTGTTCACACTCATGTGGTTTCTAATTTTGCGTCTTTGGCTCTGTAAGGATGGCGAGGTGCTAATATTACTACAGTGCTTCATATTCTCGTCACAGATCCCGAACACAGCCGCCGTGGTGCTGGGGCCATGCTTGTGAAATGGGGAATGGACCAAGCGGACAAGGCACAGTTACCAACATATCTGGAATCCTCCTCTCAAGGGAAGCGGCTATATGAAAGACTGGGATTCAAGGTAGTCAAAGAGACCACGTTCGATTTGACAAAGTACGGGAAGGAGGGGACTGATATAGGGACTGTGATGATCAAAGATCCTGCGCCTTTATCATCTGCGTGATGCGGAGGAGAGTGGTGTGCTGAGGTGGCTTTGGGGAGTTGAATGTATATACCCAGTTGCGCAAATGCATGAGAGAGATTGAAGTGAAGGGATTTGTGTCGAGTGCCACGGGTACGGGTGCAGCTATGTGTTTACGGGATGTAGATATGGTAAGGAGGACGAAGAAAAGGAACGGGCTACATAGTGTTGTCTCACAATGAAATGATCCCCATTACCATTTGGTTCTTTGTTTCTCTAAATATGCCCTACGATACATTTGAAGCCAGGTGTTGTAGCAAGTGACTATGAGTTCTCAAGTGAATACTTCACAATGCTTAGCTTTCCGAATAGAGAGGCTCCGTTGTATCGAGAACTAAAGAAACTAGTGTTGATGAAGACCTGGGAGTGAGATCTTCCTAACTAAGACCCTGTGGCCGAATGAAGATACTCACTGCATTACTTTCAGCCGAGAATTCGAGAAACAACTTTCTCCCGAATGAAACAGGCTTAGATTATTTAGCTTTGGGTTCAATATTGACCACTCTCCCTCTTCCTAGGAAGGTTTCGAAGCTAAACTAGCCTCTCGAGCCCAATCATCGTTCCTTCCAACCCAACCTCTACCCCACTTCACCTCCCACCACCTTCCCCACTGAAACTCATTCCTGTGACCCACCTCCCACCTTCCCTATTACCCTGACCCCTCTGGTCATATGAGCTCAGACCATGTGTCCATAATGCACTGATATATGTTCAATAAGAGGCAGTGTATACTATAACAAATCTGGGGGAGTAGCTCAGTGGTAGAGCGTGTCCGACACAAGCCCGAAGGCCAATTCGGCAGGCGCTTAAGGCGCAGCCAAAACAATTGAGCCGGGAGGCGTGAGGGCAAGGTCGGTGGTTCGAATCCATCCTCCTCCAACTTCTCTTTTTGCTTTCCTTCACTCAATGTTCTGTGGTGAGTCTTGGGCTGATAGGCAAGCAAAAAGTATTGCAAGAGAGGAAAGCTTTAGAGAAAAGCTTTAGAGAAAGGTGATTAAGGAAGGGAATGGATGTCACTGGTTACTTTTTGGTTGAGGGGTGGTTATGAGGGGAGGAGTGCCCACAGGCCGTAACGCGTGGCTGTTTTACCTGCCACGTCGGATTGACTCAACTATCTACATATGGGGAGAACGACCAACTCCTGAATTATAGGCTCGCACCCCGCCATCCCTCAGTCTCCTCTTCTTCATCAACCTCAATGCGAAGTCACTCCTCCTCCCACTCCTCGCCCAACTCTTCAAAATATCCTGACGGTCGCATGGGCAGAAGCTCCAAGATCTTGAGATCGAAGTTCGACTTCCACTTGTTCGGGAGTGGATGCTCAACCATGATGAGGCTGCCGCCGAAGCGGTCTTCCTGTTGGTGCTTCATGAGGTCCTCAAGCATCATCTGGGCAACACCATGGAGGTTGAAGAGCGGCTCAAGGGCATCTTCAAGGTTGATAATCCAGAAGGTGCTCCAGACGACTGCGCAAATTGCCTCCTCTTCGATGGCATCGACGTGGTTGGCGAAGTACTCCGTCAAAGCCTGGCGGGCGAAGTCCTCGGCGACGTCGCGCGGGTGGCTACCCAAGGTCGTCAGGTCTAGAGAGGCCTGCCAGAGGAGGACCATCGCGTAGCAGACCTGGCGCAGCAACGGCCAGTCGACGACGTCCTCCCATGGCAGAGCCATGTCGTAAAGCCAGTCGATCTAGTACTGTCAGGGATATACTGTGAGGTAAGATGCGGTGGTCTTTGATCTTACGTCTGCCTGGGCTCGGTCGAAGTTGTTGTGGAACTCCTTCACCTTGTCCTCGGCGAATTTGACCCACACGCCAATGGGCTGAGGCTCGGTCGGGGATTGGGCGGGCATGGTGGAGGCGCAGGTTGTGAGTGTAGTCTTGCGGGTTGTGATCTTATGGGGGCCTGGGGAGAGTGATAGCAGTTCAAGTTGGCTTGCTGTATTATGGTCAAAATCTAGAGACCTTCAGATGACTACGCTAAACTATTTTGGATCCAAAAAGGGTTTTATTGTGATCTAGATAAGCCAGGAAGGGGCAGTGAAAGGGTTGCTGGTCGCTGGGCATGCCCGCGTGAATCACCCATTATAGAATTTGAGAGAAAACCAACAAAATAATCCATGGTAGCTGTTCTCGCCACAATAAATCGAGTCTATTCAATTCGGGTATTGAACTCATATCAGGTCTTTGGTCACTGAATGTGCATTGTAGAACTAAGCTCTGGATTTGAGGGTGAGGATAGGAGGATGTGAGCAAATATGTCCGAGGAATTATGCTAACATCCCTCGCGTACTATACTTCAACCCGTCAAACGTATTTGGACCGCCAAATGCACATTGAACAATCGTGTTCGCATCCGGATTGTTATGGCAAGGGGATGCAAACATACATGTCTTGGCAAGATAGGCATGTATGCACATCTACTCGCGTACTGTGTTCTGAACTTCTGAAAGCTCTTTGGACAGATAAATGCACGCTGTAGAACCAATTTTCCCCTTGGATCACAGCCACAAGAGGATGCGAATAGACATATCAAAATAAGATGTGGACGCACTTAATCTTCGCTTCTAGCGGAGCATCTCATATTGGGTCATAGACAGAGGATCAGCAAAGGGATGTCTGTTCACAGATCATGGGCTTATACAAAGTTTGGTGGCATATTTGACTGTTGTGAGTGCGGCGAATGGCGATGTTGACGCTAGATGATTTTCCGATCGACGTCGCGAAATTACCGGAAACGGACATCAGCCACGCAGGCTAAGACCCATCCCCAAATTCCAGTGATGTATTGGAAACGGGCAAAGTAGCAATACTTAAGCTGCGTATGTGTTCAATTCAGGTGTTTCGAAATATTTTCAGATGCTGGAAAATCCTGCAGCAAGGCTGATGTGGCGAAGATGTTTTGTTTCGTAGGGGGCTCAACCCTAGAAACACCTGCAGCTTTTAGCGATAACAAGTCAGCAGCGCTAAGCCCTATTCTCCACGGCGCCCTTGCTCTAGTTATTGGAAGGCGGCCAGAAGGATAAGGCCAGACGTTAGTGGGCGAAATATAGGTCTCGAGGACACAATGTCCAGGAATTCAATCACTGCGCAAGTGCTCGTGTAACGCTGCCTGGGTGCTCTTAATCTATGCATGACAGCACACAGTGCCTTGGCCAGTCTGACAGCCGGCGGTGCTTCCTCTGCCACTGAGCATGCGCGCATGGTGGAGCGCATTCGGGGGTGGGCGCGCGGGAGTGCGCAGGGGCCACCCAGGAACACTGCTCGCGGCCGCCAACAATGCACTCTCTCCCCTTCTTCTGCGTGTCTCCCCACCGTCGTTTCGCTGCACCACCACCCACACTCGTTCTCGATCCGTGTCGCTCGCTCAATGTTAACATGACGAGGGCGTTCGTCCTTCTCCTGGCCGCGGCCTCGGCCGTCGTCGCACAGACCGTCACTGTCATCGACTTCTCGAAGCTCCCGAGTTGCGCGAAGAGCTCGTGTCTCATTCTCGCGCAATCCGAAGCCAACTGCGTCCCCCCCGCCGCGCCAATTACAAGCCAGGCCATCTACCAGTCCTGCTTGTGCCAGTCGACGCTCCTGACCTCGCTCCACTCCTCCGGACAGCTCTGCCAGGAAACTGGTTGCTCTGCTGACGATGCGACGAAAATCTCCCAGTACTACCAGGATCTCTGCAACAACCCCGTCGCAGCTGTCCCGGCGCCCGCGGGTACCACTACCCTCAAGACAAGTACGACAGCTACGACTACCACGACAACAACCAGCACGTCAACGAAGACGGCGACGGGCGCGGGTAGCGTGAGCAAGTCCAGCAAGAAGCAGACTTGGTAAGTAAATCCTACGTCTGTACTGGTCTCCTGGGATCGTGCTAACACTCCGTACAGGTGGGAGGGACATTGGAAATGGGTCGTAATGGTTATCGTAGTCGGTCTGGCCATTGTGATCTTCTGGGTCGGCGGCGTCTTCCTTCGGCGACACTTCACTCGCAAGCACGAAGCCGCACGCGCAAACTTGGCCGCTTCGGACGCCCCTTACCACCCCTCGACCCCCGGATCCCATGCGCCCATGAGCACCGGTGTAACTCCGCAGCCAATGACTATGTCGGGCGCCAGGAGCAGCACGATCACGGTGGACGGTGGAGTCGGTGGCATTGCGCCTCCTCGCGGCGGCCCTCTGCGAAGCCGAACAAACACACTCCAGAGCTTGACCATGGGCAACGGTAGTAGGACCAATGTCGCGTCGCAGCCGGTCGTATGGGGCCCCCACCAGCATCTCGCCCAAGGCAACGGATCTCCTGTCAACTCTGTCCCGCCGTCTCCCACGTCTGCGATCACGCCACCGAACCCGATCCTCCGCAACAGCCAGGCCCTGCGTTCCGAGCCGCGCTTCGTCCAGTTCCGCCAGACACCAACCTCTCCCCTGAGCGGTGATCCGCGAGCCAATCCGCACGGTGACGGTATCATGCGCCCGCATTCCACGGGAACGGGTCGAGTCGGCAGTGTGCGCACGCACTCTATGAACGCAGTCAGGAGTGATCCAACTCTGACGCCTCACTACGAGCCCCAGTCCGCCGAGATTGTGGAGTCGTCTCCCCACAAGCTCACCAAACACCAGCACTAGCGACGTCTTCAGAGCTCCCTTATCCCGTCCATCCTCCGCTTGTATACTGCCGTGGAGAGCATGAAGGGCTATGGGCTAGCGAGTCGACACAGTGCTTTCTTCTTCTTCCCTTTCCTTGTATTTAATCCTTCAGATACCTCTTACTGGCGCTTGGCTAGAGGTTCGGCGTTCTGGCAGCTATACTTGCATAGCTCGAATTGGGTTTCCTTTGTGGGCGGATCGGTTGGATGCGGATATGCGAATCAGCTCGAACGAGCTCGGGCGAAAGAGGAAGAGAGAGAGAGAGGGTGATCCCCTGGATTGGATGAAGTGACCCTATGCGATTGAATCGCGTCTACAACCCACTCTTAATGCCTATAAGGCTCCGATGGCTGGCTGACTAGCGACTTGGATATCTAACGCTCTTGGATAAATGATACTTGGTTATGGCGGATCTTGAGGGTGGAGAAAGGTCTGGATAACGCAGCAGGTGATTTTATCCAGTTGGATCGAGTTTGCGGTAGCAATGAAAGTTTTTCATGATTGTGATTGTGTTTGGTTTGGGATGTGTGACTGATTGCGTGATGTGTAGAAGGAGAAAAGATCGGAGAAAGTTTGGATGTGGACAAAGCCTGGTATTTAGGTGTGGTGCATTCCAGGGTTCGATGATGTGGCTGTTACGCGTCACACCGGAGCGCTTGCGAAGACGCTTGTAACGCACTAAAAGGAAGCACTTTCTCTGCTCAACTCGCATTTCGATTTTAAGCAACGGGGATTAGATTGTTTAGGGGGGCCTAAATTCATGTGCGTTACACTGCTGGTAGTCAGGTCGATCAGATGATATATGGAGTTGTAGTGTGTGCACTATGTCCGAGCATTTGTCAACCACACTTGTAGAGAAATATTGTCTAAACACAGATGTAGAGTTCACTACACAGTGAGAGTATACGACCAGCTTCACGATCTAGGTTCTAAACTCCTCTCCCTGCCCACCCCTTGTCCAAAGCCTTTCTCAATCCCACCTCACGTCCGACTCTTATGACCTCCGCAGGAGGACTCGGATATAACAAACATGTGTGGGAAGAGGGCAGGTATGGGGATGCCCTAGACTTTCGAGCCGCGGTTGTCGAAAACGAGTCGTTACTGCTCGGGTAGACGTACGGTGTAGTGAGCATGCGTGTATGATTGCAACGCGGATTCTAGAGCCTTGCACTGACCGGTAGGAACTTATTGAGGCGTTGCATGGGTGGTGAACTAGCAACTGGCAGCTGACTTCTTT